TCCCCGCGGAGCAGGAGCGGAGCGGGGTGCCGACTGGCACGGAAAGCTCCTTTGGCGCCTTGCAGGTCTCCAGCACTTGTTTCACACTGTTGTTGTCCTGCCTTAGCGTTTCCAACGCGCCTCCGCACTCTTTCTGTTGCCACGTAGCATCCGACCAAACGCAGTCATCGTGCACCGTGCGGGCAGGCTGAGGGCACACGCGCCGCGTAGGGTATTAATTGCAAATCTTCAACGCCATCTTCTGAAATTAAAATGCAATTATCGCCACATTGTGAGGGGGAAGTGAGAGGTACAGGCGTTTTTCGATATTTGGTTTATAATATGCACTATCCTCTAGAAAAAAAGTATTTGTGGTGCCTGTCAGAATTTTTTTCAGTCACAAGTTAAGGCACCTTCACCACTAAAACACATCACGGAGATTGGAGGCGACCGCCATCATAAAACAAGACAAGAGCAACCACAGCTTTAGCCATAGGCATTTGAATCTTTTTTCCAAAAACTCAAGGTAGGGCTCCAAAGTGCTACTCAGGGCTCCAACTGCAATTTCTTCAAATATAAAAATGCATCAAAAAGTTCATTACTATAAAATAAATGCTTCTAATGCCGTCTCTCTCTTTTTCAAAATTTAAGGCAGGGAATTCTGCACCAGTGTGAAACATGCAGATTTGATCTGTGTTAGATCAAAGTTGGGATAAAATTAACAGCTCTCTCAAATTCTGGAGGCTATTTTGAAAAAAAAAATAATTCTGCCTTGCCCAATGAATTCCATGTATATCTAAAGAGGTAAATGAGTGATAAATTCAGAAATCTTTAAGGGAAGAAAAAGCCAGTCAGAACAGTTGAAAAAACCCAGCTCATGTCTGGGAAATTATCTGGTTGACTGATTTGCACCATCTCAGTGCAAAAAGAACCCTATAGAAAACTGTCTCCACTCACCTAAATTCTTAGAGTGGGTGCTTAAAGCTAAGCGCATAACTAGCTTTTACAAATAAGATTTTTCAGGAGAAAGATGGGCTATGTCTCATTAGCTCTACCAGCTTCATTACTCAGGGTTTCTGTCACCAGACACTTCCATGTAGATAGCAAAAAAAACCCTAGGACCCCCATCTTCAGTGTGCAAAGCAGAGCCCTCTGACACTCTGATCAATAACGCAACTGTGCTATCTGCATCTAATGTGGCAGTGTTGCACTGGTAGACTTTCATAGTGAGCTTTTTGCATACGGCAAGAAATCTATTCGTCCCTAAATGGTCCAGCTCATGATCTGAGCATTTTACAGCACCTCACAATCTGTTCTTCTTTCTTACTGATTTTCTCACCTTAATAAGTGCCTAACTCAACCTGCCAAACCCTACCCAAAAGCCCCAAAGCCCCATTTGCCCTCATGGAAGTTTTCTGTGTCAATATCTGAATTTAACACTCCCCCCTTTTTTTTTTTTTTTTTTTTTTTGTGAAAACGCTGCTGCTTAACCACTGTGTTCGCCACTAGGCCCTTTGCTTTTCACACTCTTAAGGTCACACTGACTAAAGGCATGCCAGGAAAATGACTGTTTCTTCTCAACAGTTGCTCTCGAATGTTTAAGGGATAGAAAGCTGGGTTCTGCTTCCACCAAAAACCTCTGAAGTTCCATCTGACTCGTGTGGCAACTGCAGCCAAGGCCAAAAAACAACAAAGACCAAAGCTCAGACTTTCCCTTTTCCCCCTGGAAGGGGGCAAAAAGTTCTCCCCTGTCTTATTGTCCAGCAGCCAGTTCACCCAAGTGGGAACACAACGTGCTTCAGGGGCCTGCCAGAGTCCAGTGAAGGTTGTACTGAAGCCCTTGACAAATGGCTTGGGCAGATGCATTTTCAGGAGTGAATTAAGCTCCTAACCATGGTGGTGAGAAGCCCACAGCCACCTGTCTGCATCTTCAGGTGCCCCCCAAACCTCCTTCCTGAGATGGAGATTTTTGAAAGGCTTAGAAAAATTATTGGCCCCAGTTTCCATAAGGTACTTTCTTCCCTTAGAAATCCTCAAAAATCCCTTTTTGTGCATCTGTGAGATGATGCCTTCAGCTACCCAAAGCAGCTGCAAAGTTCAGACCAAAAGCACAAGTACTATTGAAGTTTCACAAACCCACACTTGAAGTAGCAAAGTTGGGACACTGAGCTGAGGAAGCAAGTCACCAGACAGCCATCCTTACTGTGCAGAAAGACCTCAAGGGTTGGTGTCAACAGAATTCAAAAATACATTGGAAATCTGGGAACAGATTACTGATTACTCAGGTTTACACCAGAATGGCACTTGCTCCTTAACCTAGGGTTTAACACTAGTCTTAACAACCAGATTTTTATCATGCCCCGTTGTGGTGACTTCTTGTGTCATAGGCACTCTGCTCTCGTTTTTGGAAGGATACATAGAGTTTCTCCCTCTAAAATAACAAAATAGTCGTGAAAAGTCATGAAATAGCAGTATTTTATGATAGATCTTCCTTAATTACACATTTTAGACCATTAAGTAAACCATTGCAAAGTCTCATTTGTAATTATTTTGTTGGATTTAGTGCATGTTTTGTTTCCTTTTCAAATACCTTTCCTCCGCCTCATAACCAAAAATATTTCAGACCACTTTTCATAAGAACGTCTTTATATTTCCATACATCAATTCATATCTAATACTAAAATAACCTTTCACTGTACATAGTAACATTTGAGACATTCTGCGGTTTTCTTCTGAAGAAAAAAGTGGACCTCCCCCCAGTACCTGGACACCAGGTATCCAGACTTTCTCCTTCCCAACAGATTGATGTGCCCATCTATTGACATGGAATTGAAGCTGCAAAGTAAATTTCCCTGCTCTGTGCCACTTCCTAGTGCTCGGTTACCAGACCAAGAGCACACCTCCCTGTTGAAACCTTCCCCTGAAAAGCCAACTACAAAATTCACACATGTTTTCCACTCCTTGGGGCATCCAGGTTGAACCTCAGGCTGTTCGTTTTGTTCTGATAATCTATTCTTTATAAAATGGGCACTCATGCACTAGTCTTGTTCTTGACACTAGGAAAGGAAAAGCTTAATCTCCATAAAG